TCCTTGCAGCCGTGTGTTTCTTCTTCCTTATTTGTCCTGTCTCTGTTTTCCCTTGAATTTTCTTTTCTGTTGGTGACTGAAGTATGAAACACAAAAGAGGAATTGTTTAAATTCTGAACTAAGAGTACTCCAGCCCAGAAACAAGGGCATTCTTCGTAGGTCTAGCGATAGCTGTCTTGGTCAGCTTGTACCTGGATGGATCCTCTTATTCACTATCCAGATCAAAATCTTAAGTCAGTGAAATGGGGCATGGGAAAAAATTGTATTGCCTACCAGGATTTCTATTAGTGCACATTGCTCGCTGCCCAATGATGCTCCGTGCCATAATTAGTGTGATTATTGATCATCATCACCACTCAATAACTTGATCGCAGTGCAAAGATCACTTTTTCTGGCATACATCCCATTTTGCATTCCAGTTTGTAGACACAAGATGATCTTCTAATCGCATTTTTTATTACTGATTCCTGAGCCTTACTTGATAGCACACAGCAGCTCGGGTTGGACAGCAGCGTTTGATCCCAAAGCTCGGACATAACATAGGAACAGGCGGTATATGTGTTCCCCTCTATGGCAGGGTACGCTACAGTCACAGCATCTAACTCTGCTTCCAGCCCCAAGGCCAAGGGATTTTCAAAGGAAGGCAAACATGCGTGTGGCTTTTTGAGAGCATTCAAGCCATTTCTGTGCTTGGACACGACCTGCTTGGGGTGAGGAGCAGCCGGCTGACACCTTCATCCAGGAGTCACAGAGGTTGTGCTGGGGAGCTCAGAGAAGCTCGCAGTCCCTGTCCCAGCCAGGCAGCTCTCCAAAACACTTGTCCCCACCATGTGAGCCTTGTCCCCTCTCTGTTAAATACTAAGAACATCTCACACACCAGAGATGTCATGCATGGATTATTCAACTCTCCACTAAACAGCTCTGGCTGTAGTTGGTTTTGGAAGGTGCACAAAGCCCATGGAAGAGAAGGCAGAATGTTGGGGAACAGGCTAGAAAAAAAGGGGATTTTTCTGAATCCTTTTGTGAGTGGGACTAACCCTGGAAAGCCTCGTTAGAGGAGGAGCACGTAAAGCTGTAAGCAGCAGACGTCTTGCCTCCTGGAATGGCAGCATTGCCCTTCCTCTGCCTTGTTGAATGCCTGTTATCAATCTGTTCCCAGTTCCCACTGGACTGTTCCTCCATGTCCCCTTTGTACCATGACCTGCTCCCTGGTGTGCTGCAACGTCCCTGTTACTGTCTCTGGAGCACTGAGCAGCAGTAAAACCCGTGGCAGTTGTGCACTGCTCTGTGCTGCCCTCCCTGCACACCGGCGTGGGGGCCACCTCTCCTGAGCCGTGGGGTCAGACATTCCTCTCTGTAAACACCGGGTGTTTAAGGAATTTGCAGTAAAACCTTTACGACCCTGCACCTGCCTCGAGTTCTAAGATAAGCGTCTCTTCTGAGCGCAGCGTTATCTGAAGTCACTGTAAGGGAGTGTCCCGCAGGGCTCATCCCAGCCCCTGACCGAGCCACCTCCAGGGACAAGGACCTTGCGCACCCGTCCCCAGGGGCAGAGGGTGAAGCCCTTGAGTCCTGCATCCACTGTCCCTCTGAGGTCAAGCCCAAATGTCATGCCTGTGTGGCACGGGAAGGTGCTGCTGCTGCGCAGCACTGTGTGACATGTTGCGAGGCTTGACTGTGGCGTGAGTGTGGCCGTGCCCGTCCCCGCTGTGCTGCAGGCAGGGAGGGATGCACTGGAGCATGGAGCAGCCAGCACACAGGTCACTTGATGCTCAGCTCGTCCTCAGCCTATGTCTGAGCTTGTGTCCACAGAGTTAGGAGGACAGATGAGCTCGGGCTCAAATGTGAGCTCCACCCTGCATGTAAAGACGATGTGGGTCTCACCTGAGTGACCAGGGAAGGCTGGGAAGAGCGAGAATCTTTATCTTGCAGCTAAAGATGAGCAGATATGGACCACGTGCCCCTGCTTCAGCTTTTGAGGGATCTTGTGCTGTGTAACTTGGCTGCTTTTGAAAGTGCTGCCCTTGCTGTGTTAATGCTGATGGTTCTTACTGCTCTTTTAGCTTCCATTTCCCCTGGCGACTGACTGTTTTCCAAATAACGGGGCTTTTCTTTTGCTCCTATGAACGTGTGTGTGGTATGAGGAGCTGCAGGGAGAGCTGTTCTGCAGATGCTCTGAAGCACTTGCTGTGGTCCTGCCTCAGCCGGTCGGTGCCACCCCTGCACCAAGCAAGCAGAGAAGGAACCAGAGCCCAGCCCAGCGTCTTGTGACGACTTTTGCTTGAACAGGCTTTGATTCCAGCTCCTGTAGAGCAACTCTCTTAGTCCATGCCATAAGGGCTGACTTCAGACTGCCGCTGACTCGTGTTGGTACCACGCATTTCTCCGCTTGCCTGTTGAACCCAGAGCAGTTGACCGAAAAATGGCTTTTTTTGCAGTCAATGGATTCCCACCCGGAGCAGATCGCCCTGCGCCCCAAGGAGTTCTTCCGCACCTACGATATTGAAGTCCTGACTGAAATGCAGGTAAGGAGAGTCCTACGTGTGCCTGCAGGCTGTCTGCTGCAAGTGCTGGAGCGCAAAGGCTGTGTTGAAGAAACGTGGAGCTGCCTCTGCTCTTGGCTCCCTGGATGCCATTGCAGAAACACTGGGTCTCCCCCAGCCCTGCTGTTTTATGCCCCAGAGCTGCCTGCAGTTGTTCAGAACCACGGTTAATGCCATTGCTCCCGGGGCAGGAAGGACACCCTGTGCAAGCTCCGGGGTGACCATCATTTCTCACCTGCCATTTGTGAGCATCCTCACATGGACCTGGGGTGACCAACTGGCCTCTGGTTAGGATAATCAGCCTGCAAGCGGTGTGGGCAGTGATGGCTTAAACATTTCTCCCCATTATTTTGTTTATACTGGGAGATCTTCAAGGATTTGTGAAAAGGCAACTGGGAATATTTAAAGTGTGGGTTGGCTAAGCTGTGGACAGGGACGCAGGGGACTAAAACCTACCAGAGAAGCTGGCTGGGCTGGGAGCTCAGTGAACATCTGGGGTTTCATCCCTTAACATTATTTAGGAATGATTTCAGGTTGTGGCTGTGGATATCAAGAACAAGGTAGCTGTGTTCAAGGATGGATTTAAGATGGAATACAACAAGCTGCTGATAGCGACTGGAAACACGTAAGCTGTGAACAAACAAGCATTTTAAAGGGCAAGAGAAACTGTTTTATCTGACAGCGTGAGGAGCTTGTGCCTGGGGATCAGGGCTTAAATGTGGTGGTTGAATTTGGACTGAATTTGTTTGCAAGAGTGTTTTCAGAAAAGGCAAGGAGCACCTACTGGATACATGTGTGTGTATCTATAACTATCTATCTATATCTATATTATCTATATCTATGTCTACATCTACCTCTATAAAGCTGTGCTGGGTATATTTGCTCAGCCAAAGCTGAAAAGCCTCTGTGTCACCCACGTCACCCAGAAAGCAGGTAACCACCAGACATGTGGCCTGCGGGATTTGCCACCTGGGATGTTTCATGGTCAGTGTCAAGGTCAAAAGGGTGTTAAAAAACCTACCCACCAAAGCAGCCGGGGTGCCTGAGTTTTTTGATGTTAAAGAAACTGATAGAAAACTGAGATTTGACAAGGTGGAGGGATTTGTTCCCTGGGGGCCAGCCCAAAAGCGTATAGGAGAGACTCGGAAAATTCCCACTGAGTTCATCATCTTGGAATATTAAAATTAATGCCCAGAACTTGTTCTCTTTAACAAAAGCCTCCAAAGTGGAAGTATCCTGCGTTGGTTTTTAGAGGTGACTTTTGCCACGTTTCTCTTCTTTTCACCCCTGAATGACACTCAACCCTGACAATCAGATAATTCATCTATCTGAATTTCCATCTCTCATTCCCTGCTGACCTTTAAGAACTTTCTAGACAATGAAAGCGTAATGCTTCTCTGTGCCGGCCTTAATTAGGAGTTGCTGTTGCCTCAGCCTAACAGAGCCCTTAGCGAGGCTTGCCCCCAGGAGGGAAGTTTTCAAGACTGAAGCCTGGTCCAGCCCCAGGGAAAGGCAGCAGCAATGTGCCTGTCCCGCTCTGCACAGCTGCTGCTGGGGTGCAGAGCATCGTCTGAGCCCAGTGTCGTCCCTAGCACCCTGGAGGCAGTGCGTCAGTTTGTTTGCAATAAGGGATTTGTCAAAATTGGCACTTTAAGATAAAAATGAGGCATCCTGGCTCCTTTTCCTCGTGCTCCTGACACCAAGGCACAAAATGAAGTAGAAGAAATGCAGCCCCTGCAAAATTTATCATCTGGGGAAGGGATGCCGTAGAACAGGGACTCCCTCTGCAACCCGAGGTGCCACTGGTACCAGCAACAGCCCCACCGAGGGCTAACGGCAGGTGCTGGGGTGTGCGGCATCAGCCCAAATGCCATCTGCACCAGCCACCTGATTAGGTTCAAAAGAGGATTAAGCCTTTGGCAATAATTTCAATATCCTTATGCACAAGCTCCAGGTACACCGGGTAAATATTTTTGAGGTACCTAAATTATTTAGGATCCATTTCCAGATGTGAGTCGGATATGCAGGGGCTAGATATTTAAAAATATATAGGCTCCAAGTAAGCGCACGGGGCGGACACGATTAAACGGCTACAGCGTCATCAGCGTGGCCCTAGGAATGGATGGTGGAACTTGCATCTGCAGAGGCTTATGAAACTTTCAGTACCTGGCTCCAAAGCGTCTGCCGGAGGCCAGGGTGAGTTTTCTGTGCCCCATTAAGCTTCTGAAAATTTTACAGCATGCCAGCAGTTAAGCCCAAGCTTGCAAAGCAGTGCCCGTCCTGCGCTGGGCTGCACTGCCCTGGAAGGGAGCTCCCCCCAGCCCTATGGGGGCACCATCCACAGATGGGGTCAGAGGTGGCCGCTGAGCAGCCCCTGCTGTGCCGGTGCCCGCGGTTGTGCTCTGGCTGTTGTCCACCAGCACTTGGATTTTTCTGTGTTGTGTCGCCAGAAAAAGGTGAAAAAGGGAAAGGTGGAGACGCTGCTGGAGCCCCAGAAAAGGGGTCTGCAGTCCCGATTGCCACCACGGGGTCAAGAAAAGCACCTGTATCACCCTCAATGTGTGTTTTTTAGGCCCAAAGCTCTCAGCTGCAAAGGCAAGGAGGTGGAAAACGTTTTCAACATCCGGACACCCGAAGATGCCAACCGTGTCGTGAAGCTGGCCACGAGCAAGAACGTGGTTATCGTGGGAGCATCCTTCCTGGGTGAGCACTTGCTCTGTGGGTGCCCATGTCTTGGCTGTCCCCGTCTTCCTGCAGACAGTCCCAGTCCCTCGCCAAGTTTGTCACTGCTCAGTTAGAGGTAATTTCCCCTCAAACTGGACCTTGGGGTAGTCCAACCTCCCGCTCCAGGTGGGTGGTAAGGGTGTCTCCTTGCTGAAGAAATGATTTTACTGAAGAGGCTGGGTCATTCGGCTTGCATGGACACTGATGCTGCTGTCCCAGTCTGAAAACCATATGGCAAGTCCAGTGCTGGTGCTAGGGCGGTTTCAAATCTGGTGTGTCCAGATTTGGTTTCGGTTGGGAGAGTCTTGTTGGTAGGTGAAAGCTTGTGGGTTTATTTTTTTACTTTTTAGCGGGGTGGTGAATTTTTAAAATACAGAGGAAAAATTTTATAGCTTCTTTGATGGTTCTTTTTGTGTGATGTGGTTCTGACAAAATTATTGTGGGTCCTGCAAGCCTTAAGCATAGATGGTTATTAGTAAGACCATGAGGTCTGGTGGCACCCCAGATCTCCCAGTAGGGCAGCTCCAACCCCCCCAGCCAGGTATGGGCAAGGCTGCTCCTCCACTGCGGCCAGCGCCGGGGACACAGGGCAGCGCCGGGGGGGTTCCCACGGCCGCTCGGACCTGCTTGTGTTCCCCAGGGATGGAGGTGGCCGCCTACCTTGCCGAGAGGGCCCACTCGGTGTCCCTGGTGGAGCTGGAGGAAGTCCCCTTCAAGAAGTTCTTTGGGGAGAGGGTTGGCCGCGCTGTCATGAAGGTGACCTCGCTTTCCCATCCGGGGGGGTGGTTTTGGTGACAACGGGTTCTGCTTGTTTCACTTATTGCGCTAATGAATTCGTTATTTGGTGTTTATTGATCAAGCTGCAATGGCAGCGGTCATAGAAAGAAAGAACGGGCCGTGGCTTCCCTCTCATGGTCCATGTACTGTACAGCACCTTCTTCTGGACACGTGCTGGGGACGGAGGTGGTGCCAACCCCCTTTGCAGTGTGGGGCGAGGCAAGCCCATGGGGTGGGCAGGGCAGTGCAGGGGGCACAGAGACACCAGGAGCAGGCGTGGTTTGGGGTCCTGATGTCCCCTGCTCTGTCCCATGTGCCCCCTCCAGATGTTCGAGAGCAACAGGGTCAAGTTCTACATGCAGACAGAGGTGTCGGAGCTGCGGGAGCAGGAGGGCAAGGTAGGGGTGGGCAGGGTCTCCCTGGGGCGCTGGTGCAGCATCCCCCCCAGGCTGCTGTTCCCTTCACTGCTGGGGTTTTGCCCTCTACTCCTCCCTAGCCCCTGAAATTCATGTTCCTGGATTTAGCCCCCAGGAGCAAATGTGCTCCCGCGCGGGGTGTGGGGTGGTTTCATCGCTCCCACCCTCCTCCTACTGCCGTTACAAGGACTTATGGTCAGCTTGCACGTCAAAAATGAAGCTTGGCTTGCTGCTGCTGCAGGGCAGGGGGGGTCGTCCCTAAAATAACCGTGGTGTTCTTCTGTGTCTCATGCAGCTGAAGGAGGTTGTGCTGAAGAGCGGGAAGGTCCTGCGTGCTGACGTGTGTGTCGTCGGTGTTGGTAAGGGGCCGTCGCTGCGGGTGCAGAGCCCCGCTGGCCGGCGGGGCTTTGCTCAGCAGAGGAGAAGCTGGAGGGCACGTGGCAGTGACAGGTCCCTGGGTAGCTGGGGGTGCTGGTGGTGATGTGCCAGCCCCCCTCGGCTGCTGCACGAGTCTGCATAGCAAAGCTGAAAAACGCCTTTCTAGAGCCTCCACCCCAAACCTGAAAGCATACTTGGAAAATAGTAATGGTTTTGTTTTTTCCAGAAAAAAGCTCCTTTCACTTTTTTAAAGCATCCCCAAACTGAATTTTTTCCCACTGTTTTTTTTTTTTTTTATTGCTGACACTGCCACAGAAGAGGATATTTTTCTCCTTTACATTTGGGAGAAAAAAAAAAAGTCCCTTTCTCACTCTGTAACTTTTCAAATTGTCGAGCACTGGAAGAATCACAGAATTAGTTTAAGTCTGCTTTTGTTGTTTTATGGACTACTCCGACTTGTGAAGGCTAGAGTTAAAAAAAGATCAAAGGAGGAAAAGAAAGCTCAAGAAAAGGTGCAGATTGTGGGGGAGGCAGAGGAGTCCTGTCTGGAAACCTGAGGACGCCCTTTTAAACATATTTTTTTTCAAAATATCTATAAAAAAGAAGTGGGTTGAAAATTACCTTCAAGTACTAGGAAGAGGTGGTGGACAGATTACAGTGGTGCAGTGGCAGCTTGGAGAGCAGTAGTGGAGTGTGATGTAGTGGGAGTAGTGGGGGGCTCTGTGAGGTGCCTGGCGCTGCCCCCTGCTCCTGGAGCAGCCCGCTGCGTTCTCTTGGACCAGACGGGTTGTCCAGGCCGGGGGGAGATCTGCTGGCCTTGGCGTCAGCCCCGCAGGGCTGCGGGGACGCCCGGCTACTGCGACAGCAGCCCTTGCCTTCTCCCACAGGTGCAGTCCCAGCGACAGGCTTTCTCAAGCAGAGTGGCATCAACATCGACTCCAAAGGCTTCCTCGTGGTCAACAAGGTGAGGAGCCTGTGGGGCAGCCCATG